AAATTTTCTTTCTCTTGAGTCAGGGTCTCACTAAGTAACTAAATTGCCCAAGCTAGGCTTCAACTTGAGATCTTCCTGCCTCATCCTCCCAAGTGCTGGGATTACAGGTGCAGGCCACCACGGCCAGCTCAATTCATACTCAATTAATTTATTGTGCTTTTTCTTTTTGTGGGGGCCGAGGGAGCATCGTGCTGGGGATTGAGCCCAGGACTTCATGCATGCCCAGCAGCTGCTCTGCCACTGAGCTAGGCTCCCAGGCAGTATGGTGTTTAATGTACCAGGTGATGGGGAGCCAGGCCTGGTGGCTCACATAGGTAACCCACACTCTGGAGACAGCACCGGGGGCTGTGCGTCGGAGGCCAGCCTGCACTGCACAGCACAATCCTTCTTAAAGAGAGAGAGAATACAGGAAAGAACAAGGACAGTGGTAATTGACTGACAAACGTCAGCTTGAGAATCACCTGTTTTTGTCTTTTTGTGACAGGGTCTCAACACATAGCCCCGGGTGGCCTCAAACTCAGAGTAATCCTCCTGCCTCAGCCTCCGAAGTCCATTTTCCTCAACCCCAGCCATAGTTTTTTTTTTTTTTTTCTTCTGGTACCGGGAATCGAACTCTCGACCTCGCACTTGCCAGGCAGGTGCTGTGCTGCTGAGCTAAATCCCCAGCACCCCCAGCCATAGTGTTAACATCTGTGAAAATGAAATCCTAACCACAGCACACCGTCTGCCTTCTGGCTGCTCCTTTCCCTGCACGGGGGTGGGGGGTGGGGGGCTGTGAGGCTTTGTAAACACAAACCTGACCTTCAGTGAGTTCCTCAGCTTCTGGCTTGTTTTTCAAGATAAAGACAAAGCACAGGGGCTGGGGATTTAGCTTAGTGGCAAAGCGCCTGCCTGGCAAGCACAAGGTCGTGAGTTCGATTCCTGGTACCAGAAGAAAAAACAAAACAAACAAACAAACAAAAAGACAAAGCACAGGCCCTGCGTGGCTTGGGCCTCCATCCCAATCACCTCCCCGATACCCGCCTCCCGGGCTGTGCGCCCAGCCCAGCCCTCACCTTCGTACCTGAGGTCACCCAAGCTTTCCTGGGACACCTCCGAGGTGCCGGAGAAGAACCACACCTTGAGGAGCAATTCCCACCCTCCCTGCTCTTTCAACCTGGGTATCCGTGGTGGGGATAGAAACAGTGATGCAAGCTTGCCCGGCTGATGAAGATGAGGAAGACCTTCGGGACCACTACTTCATTTTTTGGCCTTTGTCTTCTCCAGCTTCCTGTTTGCTCACACTGAAGGCAGGTTCTTTCCTTTCTTAGCTTTCAAAATAATTCTTTTTTTAGTACCGGGAACTGAACTCAGGACCTTGCGCTTGTGCCACTGACCTGACCTGTATTCCCAGCCTCAAAGAAATTATAATTTTAGAAGTTTTCTTATTCTTCGGGTAATGATTGAAATATTGGGGGATTACTGCTATCCACCTTTGGACTTTACAAACTAGGAGAGCTGGCTGT